ATTTTAAAATTTATATGACCTTTGAATTAATATAAGTTTATTATTATTTTTTACTAAAATCAAGAAAAACATATAATTCATTAAAATGAATTTTTCATTATATTTGACGTAAATAATTATTAATTAATGTAATTAACACAATTATATGTAATTATAATTATTATACAATTAATATAAATATGAATATAATAAGATTTTATTATATGATTTTTATTATATGATTTTATTAATTTTATGCAACTGCTAAATTTAAACTTATATGAATTTATATATTATAAATTCCAAAAAAATTACTTCCAACACTATTTTAAATAAGTGGGAAGCGAAAGAATATAAATTGATATTCAATTTTATGCAAATCTTTTTGATATAATTTATATTTAAATTACGCAAAATTTTTCTTTAATACAATTTGTATTATTAGTATTATGGACAATTGAAGAAGTGACCATCGATGATCAAAATTTGTGATCTCTATTTTATCACGGTTCTATTTTGAGATACAAATTAAATTTCAATATAAAATACGCATTTCATCGTCCTTGATTCATATATTCATAGAAGTACGCGAATCCATTCACGGAACTAGATTGCCTTCATAATCTGCAAGATTGGTTGAGTTTTGTTAAATGAAATATTATGTTAATTTGAATTTCTCACTTGTATCAATTATTATGTTAACTAACGAAATAAAAGTTTTATTTTTTGTTTTCCAATATTACTTGTTATAAGTTTGAATCAATTTTATTTTTTTTTCCTTTTAATAACAATAATTATAAATTTCATATAATTAATTATTAATTATTTATTAATAAAATTAAATATATTATCCATTTTCTTAAAATTATTTTATAAATATTTTTGGAGAAGATTTAAAAATTAATTGATTATTATTGGTGATTCTTTTTATTTCAAGAATATATGTTAGATATGAAAATTTGATTTTTTTTCTTTAATTTTATTATTTTTTTAAAAAGGTACTTATATCACCGATGAAATATGATCCAAATTTATCTCATTATTTAACGATAAAGTACCAATATAATTTCTAATCCATTACATAACACATATTATAATCTATTAAATAAGTTTAATTAATTCATTTTTTAATTCATTTTGAAGTCATTTTAAACTTTGCTATAATTTTTGAATCATATTGATTTTATCATAATTTTATATTCAAAAATTTTTCAAGTTGAAAAAAGATTAATGATTGTCTTTTTGAAAAATTTATTTTAACATTCCTTTTATTATTTTCTTTTCTTCCATTAAATTTTTTTTAATTTTCTTTGTTTTTTGTTTCTCAGAAGAAAATTTTTTTCGTTTTTTTCAAGTTTATTTTCCTCTCCTTTCTCAAGGTAAAACTGATGTCGTACCTCATTGTTTCTCAATGAAATTTACCTCCTTGATAGAAAAGATTAATAAGTTAAAGTCATGTTCACTATTCTCTATTTCTTTTTGCGATATTTATGGCGTAATAATAAACAAATGCACTTATATACATGTATAATGCATGTATAGATATATATATGCAATGTGTAATTTATGCGATATAACGATATAATATGCATAATTTTAAAATAAGCATAAATTTAATTATGTTTAATTTAATTGCTTGAATTTAATTAAATATATTAAATTTTATTAATATGTTAATTAATAAAATGTATCTATTTCATAAAAAGAAAAGGAAAATAGAACTGAATTATGAATTTAGACAGATTAATTTTATTGTATATTTCATTTATATTGAATTGAATAATTGATCATATCAAGAATTAATTATTTTAAATGATATATCTAAAAAATTCTGTATTATATTGTATAATATTCTTTTTTTTTTAAGAATATTATAATTAATTCTTGCAAAGAATTTTTAATTAATTATTACACGAGATGTAATCTTAAAATTACTTCATTTTAATATGTAATTTTATTATATAGATATAATTACATAAACCTATCTTTTTTTCATTAAACTTATTTTGTAGATTCAATATGTAATATATAATACTTTTAGTATTCAAAGCTAATCTGATCTATTAAGAAGATTAAAGATTAAAGAATTAATATAATTGAAACAAATATTTGTTGAAATTTTTTTTTTTGATTGTAAATATTTTTAAATTTTTATAATTTTACTAATTATACCATAAAATCATACTATATTTATTAATAAAGTTTAATGCTTTAAATTGAAAAATTCAATATCTATAAACTAGATATTGAATTTAAGCTAAATATTGAAAGTAATTTAGTACAGATATTGGACTGTTTTATGCAACAATGATATTATTACTATTTTATATAATAAGTAAGTAAATTCAAACACTCTTTTGCAATTAATAAAAAAACATCATTTTTTTATTAATAAAATAATAGATCGAGTGAGTTTTATCAATTATTTTTAACAAAAATTATTAATAATAAAATTATTATGTGAAAAATATATTTTTTTAATTATTTAAAATTTATGACAGAAAATGAACATGTTTATTTTATCGATCAATAATTAAGGCTTCAGAAAAATGATAATTATTCGCATTTTGCTTATTAATAAGAATTTTCTCGCGTTCTAATTTTTTTTTCTAAAATTGGTTCTCTATTTTTCATCGTTTGATAAAAAAAAAACGATAGATATCGATGATACACTTAATCGAATTAATTAATATGATTACATATAAAATTAGATATCGAAATGATGACCAATCGAAATCCTGAATTTAATGTATTCTATGATGTTTATGACATTACAACACGTATCGACTTTCGTAAAACGAAAGTAAGTATAATATCAAGGTCTCGAATTATTGAAACCTTGGATTGAATTTGATTGTTCGCTTTTAATTTCTTGCACGATTTCTCAATAAAGATAATTAACTTACAAGGAGATATGAATGTTGTATATTTTAATAACTTCGTGTCAAAATGTTCATTTCGTGTGACATTTAATTTTTTTTATATTTTATATGTATTTAAGTATTGCGTGAAATACGTTCAAGGTTTTTTTGACCATTGTCAATACATTTTATATATACAGTATAGAAAAGAATATTATATATAAATTTATATATATATAAAGAATATTATATAAATGAAAATTATTTGAAACTTTTTTAAAAAATTATGATATAAATATGAACAAAGTTACAAAATTATAATAAAATTTTGAAGAAAAACCATATAATTTGTCATTTTTCTAAAAAATAATTTTAATAATCTTTTAGAAATCTAAGAAATAATCTAAAAAAGCTTCCTAAATTATTTTTATTTAATAAAAAAATAATGTTAAGAAGCAAAATAAATTTTTTGTTATATATAATTTTAATAACGTATATTTTAATCTTAATATTTTATTGTCTAAAATATAAAATGCTGTTTTATATAAGACAACTTGCTTATATTTTTACGTATATAATATAACTAATAATATAATTTAATTTATCATTTTATATAAAATTCTGATAATCCTGAATATAAGAAATTTTTAATATAATTTTCAATAAAAATTAATATATTTCACGTCATTAACTTGAATATTGAAATTGATTTTTACAATCTTTTTTACTCCATAGTTCCACCTGCACAAAGTACTTGAATCTCACCAACTTTGTTCGACAGGAGAAAAAAAAAGAAAATATTAAAAAGACATTAAACGAATTATTTTGAAAGATATAATAAAATTTTTTATTCAATAAACAAAATTTCTTAGTACTTTATTTAAGAAACGAAAATTAATCGAATCATGAAAGTTAAACTACAAGTTTAACTCGCTAAATAGTTAAATTAAATAGTAATAAAAATTCTGTAAAATTGTTTTAAACAAGAAAGCTGCGTTAACAATTTAATTAAGATTAAAAATCGAGTATATAAATATTAGAATTTTTAAAAAAATACTCGAATATTTTTGAATATTTCAAAAAAAGATTAAAAAACATTAAATTAAAACATTTTGGAAGTATCTTTAAGAAATTAATAAAAATTTGATCAATAAAGATTTCTAAAAAATGTGTTAATCATAAAAATGTATGAATTAAATTTTAGAAAATTCTCGAGTATATTAGAAAGTTCAATGTTTTAAATAATCAAAGATAACAAAAATATTTTGAACAATTCATATTCTGAAATGCATTATATATATTTGTATTAAATTATTTCTTTTATTAAATTTTAATTTTAATTATAATTTTATTACAATTTTATTTAATAAATTTAATTAAATAATGATGAATAATTTAATTTGGTTATATTTGATTATGTATAATTGTTATTATAAATTATTTGATAATATTGAATATCATTGCTAATAAAAAATTCAAATGTTAATTTCTTGATATCATTAACTTTTATGATGACAATTCAAATATTTTTACCATGTGTTGGTTATTATAGAATCATTCAATTAGAAAATTAAAGAACTAGGAAATTAAAGAACTAAAGATAAATGTTTTATCATAAAAATATTTATAAAAAATTTCGATTAGATATTATAGATATAAATATAAAAAATTCTAATATTTTCAAATTCATATATTTGAA